CAAACAGCTTGCCTGAGACTTGGCCTATTTGATGATGACAAGGAAAAAAGACCATGCCATGGAAGAGACCCCCTCGAATTCGAAGTAGGGTTCAGTTAAGAGAAATATTTTGCATAATTTTGCTCCACTAAATACCTGCTGATCCATTTGGATTTTGGAATAAATGGAAAACAAGGCTTGCCGAGGATATCATGCACCAATATCATGAGCACATTATGTCTGAGAGAACAGTGCACCAGGTGCTTCTGAAATTGTAAGAGAGAATAGAGCATGATGGCCTGGATTTGAATGCTAACTTTGGATTGCCAGAGCCAGATCCAGACAGAGTACAGCAGGCACATAACTCTAGTTTTTTTAGAGAAGAGACAAAGTTAAATATTACCTAGCTGTAAGATGAACATTGTACTTGACCAATTTATATCAGAATGTAATATTTCTCTGGCTGCTGCAATGTCTGGCATAGCCGTATTTCTGCTAAATAATGGATAAACTTTGCACTCAAAATGTAAGATTCCTCTAAATGTAAAGTAGGAGCCAACATATTCCTTTACAAAGCGAGATGCAACTGGAAACTTCATGCAGCAAACAAATCTTCTTTTTGTAGACGAGGTAAGCACGGGTCACAAACATATTTTAGATTGACTGGATCGTAGTTTGTAAGGTGTCAGAGGAAATACCTAGTACCTTAGAGGCTTGAAAGTTTTACGAGAAGGTGTTTGGAAGCAAATTTTACCAGTAGTTCGACATGGATCACGACTGCAAATTGTTGACGCCACCCTCAAGAAATACTACCTCTTGGAACATATTCAGACAATAGAACTAAAGACAAATGTCAGAGTGGAAACTGCCAGTACTGATGAAAAGTCCTCTTTTTCCAAGTTTCTTATGGACATTGGAAATGACCAAGTGCCAATCGATCAAGAGATTGGACCCTATAAGATTAAGATTCCAGAACAACTCATCATGCAGTCAACAAAACTTGCTGACCTTTGCAGCTTTGTATTTGATAACCTGGAACAAAACCTGGCTGACACTTCATGGCTTGATAACAGGGCCATCATATCTCTTACCAATGAGGATGTACAGAGACTGAATGAGCTCATGTTGAAAGAATTTCCTGGTCAAGAATGAGCATACAAAAGTTCACACACTACTGAATATGAGACTCGATACCCACATGAATTTTTGAATGGGGCCAATCCATCTGGATTTCCTCCTCATCTGCTGAAGCTGAATGTTGGATGCCCATAATACTGTTGAGAAATTTGAACCCACAGAATGGACACTGTAACGACATGAAATACACTGTTATAAGTTAATATTACGTAATAGAGGCGAGGATTGCAATTGGAAGCTTTGATGGTGAAACAATCTTCATTCCGAGGATTCCTGATATTTCTCAGGAACACGAGTTCCCCTTCAGTCTTCATCAGAAACAATTTCCAATAAAACCAGTATTCGCCATGACATCAAACAAAAGCTAGGGCACAGATTGGTCTCTTCCTACCAAAGAATTTTTTCCATGGACAGCTTTATCTGACCCTTTCAAGAGTGGGCAATAAGGACAATATCAAAATCTTTGCAGAAAATGCAACATTTGAATCAAAGCAAGGCAAATTTATTGACAATGTTAATAATGGCTGGAGACGGCTTGAATGGGTAATGAAGAAAACTTAATATAACAGCAAATAGTACAACGTTACTTTATTATTAAAGTTTTACTTTCATTACCCATTCAAGCCGTCTCCAGCCATTATTAGTCTCAAAGTTAGGTTCCTCGTCATCGAATT